CTGAAATGCAATTAATGACACAATAATCCATCCATCTGTTCTCAATATTTAGGAAATCCTTGCAGTGTAAATTAATATATACAAAAGATTCTAACTTAAAATCATTTTTTACTTAATAAAGATTCTAATAGGAATAATGATATCATGAGGGTTGAATTTTCAAGTCTTTGGCTTTCGAGGGCCTTCCTGCTATCACCCTATTTTCTAGCTTCAACTAGAGATTCACTTAACTAGTTCATGGAAAAATCTGGCTGGGCTCATTTATAACATTTAGATAAATGTCTGCAAAATAAAAAGATTGCTTTAACCTTAATCGGACCAGGTAAAAGGCAAGTGGGTGAGAGAAATCCTGAACAGCCTGACATGACAGGGGAAGGTAGAACATGCTGATGTTGAAAATATGGAAAAAACGAACTGAAAGGGAAACAGAAAGACTGAAGCTTATTTCTGTGAAATTTGGTAAATCAAAACCATGTCGGTAAATAGTTGGAAAAAGGCCAAAATGTCATCATTTTTATTGATAAGGAAAATAAAAGCCTTGATAATGGCTTTATGCTAGCTTTAAAACATCTGTACTATTTTCTGCTTTATGTAAGAAGTATTGCACTATATTATAATTGAATTCCCAAATGGTCAAAAGAATATTTGATTTGAAAAATAAAATAGACATTAAACTTATAGAAAAGCAACATACTGATCCCTTTACACACTTCAGAAAAGAAACGCATCAAAGTGACACATACACTTTAAAAAGTCAAATCTTTCATAATATCCCCTGTAATTTGCATCAATGCCTCAAAGTTTTTTTTTGAAAACACTAGTGTACCTGAAAAAACAGGTAACTGCATGACAGCGTATCTGAAGAGCAAATAAACATGCAAATTTAAAATGTCGACAGCCTCTAGAAGTATGACATGAAAGCCTTAGCAATGCCGTTTAATCAAATGCTTTTAGGACAAAGTATCATTGAAGTTTGGTCAATAAAACCGTCCTCATACCAGCCGTCTTTCTAGTTATGTTATAAAATTATTTGATAGGCATGAATTTAATTTCACAAAGATTCTATGTTACAATTCTTCCTTGAACAGGATTGACTCTTCCTTACGTTACAACTGGTAGATCTGGCTGTTAGATGAATTGTGAGAGCAATGTCTGATTAGAGAGCAGGCTTTGTAGAAAAGGTGTTATTTTTTTACTAAAAACACAAGTTTAAATAAAACATATTTTTTTGTATTTTAGTCTAATTTACTCATTACATCTGCTTTGGTGCATCATATGCTTTTAAACGTCTCACTGCAAAGCTCAGCAGATTCAAGACCTATATGAGCCTAAATGACGTGAATCACTAGCCCTACCAAAAAGCCCATGGAGTAAATCCATATCAAATATTTCAGTTGCCTATGAAAGCCGACTCAAGAAGAAAAGTATTAGTTACACTGCTGATAGATCGGGTTAAGGTTTCTAAAGTAAAGAGTAATGTAGTTGTTTCACTTTTTTCATAACTCATCTTTATTCAGGACATCTATATCTTTCAGTTCATGACTGTATTCATTAGGTAAGGCAAGGCAAATTTATTTGTATAGCACAATTCAGTACAAAGACAATGCAAAGTGCTTTACATGATTAAAATACAGGAAGATAAAACAGAATAAAAGCCAGTAGGAAAAAAATAAAATAAAATAATGCAGAAACAAAAAAGAATATTAAAAACAGTTGGACTAAAGAAAATAAAAAAGTTGAACTAATGATGTTTCAGTTGAACTGTTTAACTAGAACAGTGGAAGGCAATCCGACTGTTAACATTAATTGATCAATCTTATTTAATGATTTTATTCAACCAAATTTACAAGCATAGACTTAGACAGACTTCATTGTTAAGCCACCTCAGACCCTGAAACAAACCACAGAACCATAACGTGGATGAGTTAGACTTTGACTTGGACAAACTTTAGTTTCATTTTGTATACACAGAGTGAGGACAAAACAAAATTTCGATGCATATAGTGAATGAGCAGCTTAGCAGTAAAATGAACCTTTCCTTTTATAAAGTGCAGAAGTAATCAAAATGAAAACAGTGTAGGAGAAAAGGAAAACCAGTTTAAACTCATGTTGCAAGCCATTGATATAGAAAGATTTGGTTCTGTGCAAAATAAATAGATATGGTGCAAATTTGGTGCACAACTTGAGTTGTGTTCTATTTAAAGGGATTATGCAAATATGATGTTTTCAAGTGTGATGCAGAGTCTTGATTAGAGTTTCAACAATTCAAAAGTCTGATGGCAGCGAGGAAAAAGCTGTCGCAGAACCTGCTGGTCCTGCATTGAACGCTGTGAAGATTCTTCCCAGAGGGCAGCAGGGAGAACAGTCCATGGTGGGGGTGAGAGGGGTCACAGATGATGTTACAGTCTTGGGATAGGCAGTGCTGGGATGAAATGTCTTTCATGTAGGGAAGAGCAGCCCTGATGATCCTCTCTGCTCTCCTCACCACTTTTCTCATGTTCTTCCAGTCTCAGGGGCTGCAGCCTCTACACCACATGGTGAGATGGCTGGTCAGAACGCTCTCTATGGTGCGAGAGCTACTGTAGAAGGTGGTGAGGATGGGGGCGGGGGCAGGTGGGCTCTCCTCATAGAAAATCCTCTATTAATATTAATCCATCCGTTGCCTTTACCAAGTTGTCCTTGTTAGGTCAGGGAGGAGTTGAGGAGTTGATGCTTTTCTCCACATCTTTCATGAGGCAAGAAGCAGGGTACACCTGGGGTAGGTCACCAACAGGACAAAGTAGAGACATGTAGGGCCATGCATGCATTAACTTAAACAAGAGGGAAATCTATTGTAGCAACACCCTTCTGTAGCTGTTATGTCCTTTATTCTCCCTCAGTGGGAAGTAAAGGTGGATCAATGGAAAAAGTTACTATAAAAAATTATAAAATGGCAAATGAGGTTAAGGAAAACCTTAATGTAACAGAAGGAACTCTATTACTGTGGAATGAAGTTTGCTTCAGAAATTCAGGTTATTCTCACCATCTGCAGCAATATCATGTATATGATTGGAAAATTGATGTTGTTTTTTTAAGTTTTTCTGTGAATTATAGTGATTCTGCTAAAGGGAGAAATTGAGCTGATTAAGGTGAATTTTGATTGAAACATTAGATAACTAATATAAAGATAAGAATGCATTAGTTGAAAGTAGGAGTGCGACACCTGAACAGTGACGCACTCTTTTGATCCTTCTATTCTATGATTGCTTTCTATTCTTTGTTTTGAACCACTATGTTCTGTAATTCCCCTTTTCAAGTTCAGTAAAGCTGCAAACATAGACCTGCTGGAAAAATGACTTATTTGAGGAAGCATCTCATGTATAAAAAAGTTTAAAGGAGTAAGGCTAGATAGAGGTTGCTATATTCATTTCCTCTATTCTTTAAATCATGGGGGCACATTTATGATAAAATCATCCAATCTACGGTGTAAAGGTTGATGCTCTCTTATATGTAACTCTCTGTAATAGAACGCTTGTTTACGTGTAACAATGCTGCTCTGAGAGCTGATCGTAATACATACAAAGTATAACTGGTTAAGGAATAAAGTTAAATAAAGGTCAATCGACATCTGAACACAGACTAACAGTATCTAACATAAAGTATCTATCTGCACATTAAAATCTAGAACATGGACATTTTTTTATGTTTTATATTTGCATACATTAATGGTGTAGAATAGTGAAGAAGCTTGTTGCATTCTCAAAAATTTTTCTCATTAACCAAGTTTAAACACCTCCATCACAAATAGTCACCAAAAATAATTACTGACTGGTTTCTAAATGTACGAAAGCACATCTGCATAGTCTCTGAAGGTAATGCAATTTCAGCCTTATAGTCTTTTTTAATTTACACAGTACTGCTTTCCCACATCCTATTATAGACTACTACTTAGTGATGAAGTAGGCTCTGTAAATATGATTGGTAGAGACTGGCTCCCCCAGACTTTAGATGATTAAATCTTTAAAGGTTAATGATCCAATCAGCAGATACAATAAAATACATCCTACGATGAATCACTGAATCGTTGTTTGTTGGTAATGCTTTGTTTCTCTCTGTGCTTGAATACTTGATTTAAGTAGACAGGTTTTATTGAGGCTTAAACAAATAAAAACTTGATCAATGATAACATATTGTAACTGGTAATTACACACAGTTTAAAAAAACAAACAAGGACTTTTCAGAGTGCAGAGAAACAATGAAAAGTCTGCTGATTGTGACCATTTCCTCTTGTCTTATAGAAGTCTTGTCTCATAGAAAGCTACTTTACAAAATAAAATCATAAATACGGAAATACGGCATCAAATGCTTAAGTTAAGCCAAAAACATCTACAGAAAAAAAAAAACAGTTAATTGTACCGTAATCCCTGAGCAAATGTTTAAAAATAAACATTACCAGAAGAAAAAAAAGAAAACTGTCTTTAACTTTAAAAATATAAGGTTAATTAAGTTATACACTTGAAAAACGATCTAGAAATAGGTGAAAATTTTTTAAATAAAGTGTATTTACCATTAATTTGACTACCGTAAGTAAATGAGATAATTTGCCAATTGAATTAGTATTTTTACTCTTAAAATAAGATAAATAGATAATGTGCTCTTGAAATAAGACAATGTGATTATGTTTTCTTATTTTAAATGTAAATTGTTTTGTTCCATAGGCAAAATGTCTCTTTTACCTCCTCAATCCAAGAACAAATGCACTTATTTTAAGAAAAAAATGACTTATCTAGGCTTTGAATTTCAGCATCCACTCAGCTGATATAAAAAAAAAGAAATAGAACAATATATCAGCTTCATTATTTTTGATTATACTTAATCTGTCCAGTAGGTGGCACTGTGCCCACAACTATAAACCATCCCAATCGTTTAGTGACAGAAAGAAAATAAATTTGAGCAGCTCAGTTAATTAAATGGACCAAGGTTTATCATTAACATCTAAAAAGCTTTGGTTTTACAATAATTCGTTAGTGTGATTATAAGAGAAATGTTCAAAGACATGATTTAAAGGAGCAAAAAAAAAGGGAGTTATTTATAACATGATGTGAAGCCAGAAGAAATCTTTGATGGCCTCTTTTGTCCAGGTAATGAGCATCATTTAACCACTGGGATGGTTTCATAAATATTCTCAATGGTGAACTTGTTGAGTTCCTGAGGGGTCTTTCTTCGTATTAGTTCCTTCCTTCCTGTTTTGGAGAAATGCAGTAAATAGATGGGTTCTCAGTAAAAAGAAGGAGGATTAGTGTAAATGAATCCTGGCAGCAGAAGGATGAAGCACATTCTATAAACTGCTGTGCACTTACGGATGATAAGGATGAGAATTAGGATTATGGTGAGGAGGAAAATAGCTGCAATCCTCCCAATATTTTCTGCTTCTAAGAAAAGTTTGAATTTCCCCTGCAATGAAAAAGTAACCAGTTAGCAATAGTTTGGCCATTTCTTGTTTGTGATATTATCTCAGAAGACTCTTTAAAAAACTAATTATATTTTCTTTGTTTTTGCCATTTTTACCCCATAAGTAATTATTTTAATGGATTCTTTTAAAAGACCCTCCCCCCCCCCAAATCAGTTCCCAAACATATTTGTGGACAAACTTTACAAATCAGTTCCAAGTTATGCTTACTTATCAATGTATTTCTTTCTTTAACAGCCTCTTACCTGACCAGTGACGCTTTGAATCGTTGCCATGCTTGCTTCTTCAGCTTCCATCTCATGCATCATAATTTCTGTAAAAATGAATTCATGAATTTGATCCATCTGGCATCAAATTTTCAACAGGTTTTTCATATGATCTGGACTTAAAATAAAATGTCTAAACATTATATTTTATTAATTCATTTCCTTGAATGTTCTTGAATTAGAATACTGCCAAAACATAAAAGATATGAGTGTATCAGCACAAAAATAAATTATTGCTTCAATATGATATGGGCTGCTAATGAAATGTTAATTTATTTTCTGTTGGTTTTATTAAAGGAATATCAGTATTGCTGGAGGGCAATAAAATATCTACCAGCTAAGAAGGATGTCTGTGCATTGTGCACAGAACAATAGGTCAAGGTTCATTTTGATGACTTCACTGATGATTGCCTTAGCGTAGCGTGACATGGAGGTGGACCCTCCTGTGGCTCAGTTGAGATTTAAGGAAGCCCATTTATTTTCTTCCAAGCCCAGTTAAGACACTTTTGTTTTCCATTTTTCAAGCATATCTTCACATAAGCAATGCTGCAGTTCTATACGTTTCCTATGTTCTTTATGTGGAGGCTCTTAAGGCTCTGACTCCAGCGACTGTCCAGCACTTGTAAATGTTAAATTGCTGTTGTTTACAATCCTCTGAAGGCTACCGTTATCCCTGCTAACTGTCCACCTGTTTCTACCTTATTTTTTCCATCCACTCAACTTTCCATTAATATGCTAAGATGAAGCAAATCAAAGAAGAGCCAGCTGCTCTATTAGCACCCTTTCGGAGGTTACCCTCCATTTTGAGAGTGGATTGACTTGCTAGTGTTGTGCCAGCAGCCTTCCCATAGAAACAGAATTTTAGGTTTTGTATTTAGATAATAATCATTAAAATGTACTTGAGCAGTTGAACATTATCACACATATGTGTACTACATTTAAAACTTTGAAATTACATTTTAATTATAAAGATACAGCAGTGCTGCAAATGATGACATACCTTCCCTTACTGTCACACTGGCAGTCTCTGTTGGGTTTTTGATGTGAACTTGTTCCACAGGGGCTTAAAAAAAAACAAAAAAAACAGAATATCTTATTTATTTAACAATAATATGACATTCAAAATTATTTTCTGGTTTTCTGAGCTTTATTGTTCGCATAGGACAGACGTTAGCAACCTTTGCCAAACAAATAGCCGCTTTTACTCTCGCTTTTAGCGGAAAACTGTCTTTGAAATGTAGAAAAACTTGACTGAAACTGAAAAAAATTACACCAGAATTTTACAGAAATTCTTTACCCGAATAATTTCAGAAAGGCTCAAAACAACCTTTTTAGGTAATTTAATTATTTTCTAAAGTAATCTTTAGTTAAATCTCATATTTTGGTGAAACTATTGAGAAGCACTCTTAAAGCTCTTAGAAGCCATTTGCAGCTGCATACATTCAGGTTGCAAACCCCTACTGTGGGACAACTAGTCACAGATTGCACCTTAATTTACATTTAAACAATGCATTGCACATGCATTTCCCAAACCCTGCTGCTTTAAAGGGGAACACCATTTTTTCTTTTTACATTGGCCCAATGATTTTATTAGTTTGTGTCATTTGGAGCTGTTCAGAAGATATTTGGTTTTGTAATCCAAGAAACGTCTTCCTATGGGCAGCGAGTTGAAGGAACAAACTTCAACATTGTTCATAATGTATTCTTTATGGTACGCCAGCATTCATAACATGTAGGCGAATTACTGTCCCCCAGACATCCGTGGTTATATTTTTTAAAAACAAAGCGGTGCGTGTATGACGTCATCCGTGCGCTGGACTGGAGTTGTAACAGGCAGCCCGGGCCACAGGCGGCTACGCTCTACCCCTTCTATTCATTTGGCTAGCTAATCTGAATGGTTCAATTCCATTTTGAGAGCGAGATCATCTGTGGTAGTAGCACTAGATGGAGTCCTGCACGTGTCAAGTTTTACCAACCCGCACCCGCCCAAACCCGTTAGCATGACTACCGAACCGGACCCGTCATCCGCGGATATCTTCAATTCAAATCCTAACCCGACCC